AATTAATAATAATTAATTAGGAAATTATTAATTTAATAAAACTATAAATTAAGTATAATACACATGACTAATTTAATAAAATAATAAGACTAAATATGGGTAATAATATAAATTAAAAATAGAGTTAATTATAAATAAGATTAATTAATATAAATTATTTGTTCACTTAATTTAGTAATAATTAGTAATTATTATGTCACATGCTACAGCTGTACTATATACTACACCACATTTACTATGCCACATAAATAGGTGATTGGTTATAATATGACTAAGATTAGTGTATCATAAATTTATTAGAATTTTATTATAATAAATTTAAGAGAATAACTATAAATTAATAGATAAGATTTTATTACTAGTAAGTAATTCAGAGATAATAATATCTATTAAAAATTTTAAAATATAATTTATTATATAATTAATTCTCTTAAATTTTCTAAATTTATTAAATTATATAATAAACTATATTTTAATTACTTTTTTATAATATAAATTTATTAATAATTTATTCTTTATTATAGATTAATGCAAAAAGATTTATATCTCAGATTATGATTAATAAAAAAATTTTCTATATATAAGTTTTTTATTTTTTTTATGAAATAAAACTAATATATATTGGAAAATATTACAATATAAAAATTATATTAGAATTCATTATTATTATTATCATTATTATTACTTTTGTTATCTAATAAAACTATGTTTTTCTATATTCTTTTGCTCTTGTAAGCATCCTTCTTCACAATTCAATCACTATATATGAATCTATTTTCTCTTTAAAAGTATGCAGAAGTATATTTTTAATAGCTAATAGATTTGAATGTGAACCAGATCTTACTATCTTATCTTTTACTATTACTTATACACCCTCAATTAGCTGAAGTTCATAATGATAAGGAGAGGTAAAAAAAACTTGATGATTATATTATTTAGCTATTTTGATAGAAGCAAATAGAATCTGTTCCTTATTCTTCTTTACTAACTCAAGAAGTTCAGATTTGCATAATTTATCTGAAAAAGAGATATAGTAATTAGTAAGCTAGTCAATTATTTCTTTTTTTTTGTGACTAACATTAGAATATTCTTTAATTTATCATTTATAATAATATGTATTATCTATGTAAATATTTGTTATACCATATTTTTCATTAATTATTTGATAAAGATTTTTAAAAAGATCTTCAAAAACTTCTGCATTGAAGTTTTCATGATAATCAACTTGATTTAGAATGATATTTACATTTTTGATAATGTCTGGAATATTATTCTATTTTTTAATATTATTTTATTTTTATTCTCAAGTTCCTGAAGATTTGATTGCAGGATTTCAGAAATAAATAGAATTTGAAATAAGCTTATTATGTATCTTGTTAATAAAGTCATTTTAAAATACAATAATTACACCAAAGATTACTAATAATGGATCATATCCCTATATCAAGATAATACCTTTTTGAGAAAGTCACATTTTAAGATATGTATGATTTAAATAACAATATGACTTGTCAAGAAAAACTTTTAGATAGCACAGAATATTGTTTTTATCTTTTAAATTGGATATATGATGATAAATATAATAATAATAAAATGTAATATTATTTGATAACTCATAAAGAATATTTCTATATTCTTTCTAGCTATAATAATAGTTCAAGTAATATAATATTTAAATAAGTTGCCATTTAGAAAATATGTATCTATGTTCAGAGAGAAACTATTGTAAAATCAAAGTCAAAATTTACCTACCAGTATTATTATTTTTAATAATATAATTTTGTAAAAGAATTTTAATCTTCTCATCTGATTGTAATTTAGATCATCCAAGAATTTTATATACCAAAAAAGTACTATTATTGTTCTGATACCAGTCTGTTACTACATTTCTAACTGTACTCTCTGCAATATCTAATATTAAGACAACTTGTTTGCATAATATGAACTTCTGATATTGATCATGATCCAAAGTAGTCTTGGAGAAGTATTTGTAAACATTAATTATTATCAATTTTTCATTCTCTATTAGTAACACATTACTTCATTTTTCTCAAGAAGGAAGTATTAGAAAATAATAAAATTTGAAAGATATAAACTTGTAAATATGTACTATCAAATATGTAAATATGGGCTGATTTTGTTTATTGTGTATTATTTTTGTATTATAATAATTATTTTCTTTTCTTTTGAGATATAAATCTTTTTGCACTGATCCATATATTATTTAAAAATATATTTCAAAATTATTAAACTTGATAATAAGAAATAGATTAATTTGAAAAAAATAGCTTTTAATTTTTGTTAAAAATATATTTTTATAATTAATCTTAATAATAAGATTCTTAAATAAATATATAAGTTTCTCTATCTTATTTAAAAGTTAATTATAAGTGAAATTATAATTATAAATACAAGAATAATAAAGAAAAAGTTATTATTAGATTTATAAATATTTTAATATAATTATATATTTTTTCATTATTATTTACTTTTATATTAATATATTTTTTATCAATATATTTTCAATTCTAATAAGTTATTAATAATTAAGATTTAAATTAAATTTTAATAAATATTTAAAAAAATTAATTTTGAAATATATGAATATCATGAGATAATTAAGTTATCTAAATCAATACTTAAATAGAAAAAAAGCAAAGATATAAAAACTTTAAATTAATAAACTTATGAAAAAATTATGAAATAAGTATTAGAAAATTAAAAATAAAGATAATATAAAAGCAATTAAAATATTTATTATATATTTAGATAAATTATTGACTTTAATTTTTAATAATAAAAAATATTAAATTTATAATATATAGATAAATAAAATTTTTCTTGATATTTTATAAATATAATTAATTAAATAAGTTTTTTATATTTATAATTTTAAATAATATTATATATATATAATTATTATTATATATTTATTATAATAATTATCTTTATATTTTTTAATTATTATTAATATTTTGTGTTATTAATTTTAATTATCTTGTTCACTATTATTATCTAATAATATATTCATGTGAAACTATCTGGTTTTAATGAATCTTTAAATATAATACTTATGATATTCATGCTAGAAAATATTGAAAAATAAAGCAATACTATCAGAAAAAACTGGAGAAGCTAATTCAGAATGAATTTAAAATAGAAGAGATTTGAATAAGCTAGTATCAGAGACACTTTTTGACATATATATTGGTATTCTGTGTCAAATATAATTATCATAATAACAGTTCTGATAAGCTATTTTTTATTTTAGAGAACTGAAGTTTTAACTAGATAAGTATTACCATGTCATCAAGAATTATTAAGAAAAATTACTTTTTTTCTCTTTTTTATCTATAGCAAATATTATATATATCAAAGGTATACCATAGAAAAAGTTTTATTTTTTTCCTTAGAATTTTACTTTTTATAGTAATAATAGACAGATATAAGAAACTAATCAAGAAATAAATGAAATAACTCAAAAAATATCAAGGGAATATATAAAAGTATCCTCATGAAGCGTCATCATGAGATTTTTTTATGGAGACAGATTTTTTCATGGTGATAAAAATTCAGCATACTTTAATGGATCAAGGTAAGTAAACATATATTCACTACTAGAGACAAGATAAGTTGATATATTTTCTATGACATAACTTGGATACGATTTGATAGCATTAATCGATTGACAGATTGCATCCATATTTGATAACATGCTATATAGTGTACCCGATAACACGTATATAGCATATTCGATAGTATACTTGATAGCAATTACGCGACACATTTGATCGCATGTATGCAATATATATTCTCACTATTTGTCCCCTCAATGACGCGTAAAACTCGTCAAACTCGCAATAAGGCCAATCGGCTCACATGTAGCTAACTTTATGAAATCGGCCACGCACACTGGCACATGTCTCAACGGTTCTCAAGCGACGATACAAATGTAACCTATATAACACCCGATGTGTAGACTATAATCGTCCCATCTCGGTGTCGTAAAAAGTAAAATGTTCGTCACTCGAGCATGTCGTAAAAAGCAAAATGCGTGTCATACACATCAATGTGTCAAGATTTATGAAACGTGACGCCTTCGAGTGTGTCAAGCATAATATTATGACACATACCTGAGTGGCCATAACCTAAACTAAGTAGAATAACATAATTATGTTATTTCCACTATTACAAATTCTAGAATCAAGTGTTAAGTTTACTAATTTTTCTTGTCAAATATATAATTATTAGTAAAAATAAATTATAAATGACTATGCTCGCAATACTAGATTTTAATTATAATTACAAATAATTAGAAAAATTCAATTTAGACGATTATAAAAAATATGATCTGACTTTATTATTAAATTAGCAGTTACAGGAATGAAGAAATAAACAAAAGTATATTTGAGGAAAACAAGCTAGAAACTGAAATCTAATGACATCGTGAGAGGAAGCAGTGCAGAATTTGATGGATGAACTTCGTCCATTATTACAAATTAATGAGGGAAATATACCGATACCACTTTCCAATAATGTGACTAGCAGAATTCAAAAATGCGTATACAAGTTAATTTAATATATATTTTGATTATCTGATTATACAAATAAAAACCATATATTTAATATATGCACTTACGATCAGCAGAAACTGGTTAATAATGATTGGCTGAGTTGGAATGACTAACCTTAACTCATTTGTGAAAGTCCTAAACATTATTACAAACAATAATAATAACAACTCCTCATCACACAAATTCAAGTCAATAACAAAATAGTAATCCGTTACGCGAAAGCTGTATGTTCATTATTAAACAAAATCGACTTAGAAAATGCATATCCAGCCTCCTGCAAGATTCAGGAATTTATCAAGGAGTTAAAACTGGAAATCTCTTTCATTATAATGCATATTTGCAATTAAAGGAAACAGGCTCTGCGTATCAAAAAATGTGTCAAATCGGATTTCCACCACGTTTAGAAACTTTTTTCTCTTTGATAACTGAACATTTGAATGAACGAAAAACAGAGCAAATATCGAATATATTTAGAGATTTTAGATGTTCTGGTTATAATTTCTCAGAATGTGAAACACATGCATTTTATGTTTCATGTTGGACTTTGATCAATCAACTATTAGACGATAATTTTTTTTTGGAAGCTTTTTCAATATATCGAGGGCTTCGAGAAATCAATCCTAATTTATATTTTGTGGATGACGCATTTTCGTTAATGCAAATCTTATTAAAGAACAATTTTTTTGATGAGGCATTTTCAATATACATGGAACAACATAAAAAATTTAAAAATAAATTCATAAACAACTTGATTCAACAATTTTGTCTGTCACCTGATTGTCAACATTCGATAACCCTCGCCAAAATGTGGATAGACAGTAATCCAAAGCAAAGTTCTCGTCTTTTAGCTGCATGTAACAAGGTTATTTATTATTTATCAGAGAATTACAAACTATCTGAGATGATTAATTTTTACGAATATATGATAGATAACGGTGTTAGGCCTGACGTTGAAACTTATACCACGATCATAAATACTTATGCAAAAATTCCTGATATGTCTCGAGCCGAAAAGTATTACGAGGAAATGATTGCAAATGGTATATCTCCAAATAATCTTACTTATCTGATGTTCATGAATGGATATATACGCGATAAGCAATTAGATAAAGCAAAAGAAATTTTTGCGACTATAAAAAAACTCAAACTTCCCATGGACTCCTCTTGGCATACTCTGACTTATGGATATTTAGAGGATAAAGATAATCATCTTCTGGGCTCATGTAACAAGGTGTTGAGTTATTATACCAAAAATTCTGCTCTAATTGATTCAGTCGAGTTATTTGATGAAATGCTAAAGTCTAATGTTAAGCCTGATGTTATGTCTTATTCGATCCTTATTGATGGTTTTGCACGAGTGCCCAATATCGAAAAGGCCAAAGAGTATTATGAACGGATGATCGAGGCAAATATTTTACCCAATCGAATCACCTATTTATCATTGTTAAATGGTTATGTTAAAGAATCTAAAGTCGACGAAGCATATAAAATATTTCAAGATATGAGAGCTAAGGGAATTCCTGCGGATGAAAAAGCATGCAACACGATTTTAAAGGGATTTCTATTCCAGCGTGGATTACAAGGGACGGCACCTCTATTAAATGAATTTTCCAATATTGGATTCCGTCCAAATATCGTCACGTATAATATCTTTCTTTATAATTACATGGTGAAGCAGGAGATGCAAAGAGCGGAGGGTTTATTTACCAAAATGCTGGCAAAGGGAATAAAACCAGACGAATATACCTTTGCTATCTTAATGAACGGATATGTTCGTGAGGGAAATTTCAATGCCGCATGGGAAATATATCATGAAATGATCAAATCTGGGATTGATTTGGATATTGTACTGGCTACAAATATCTTCGATTTTTATGGTGGAAAAATGAAATTAAAAGATGCTAAACAACTCTACGACGATCTATTCGATGTTTTCGGGGTATCTTCAACAAAGTTGAAACCTAATATCGTTGCACTTAATGCGTATGTTAAGAAGGGATTAAAAAGGGTGCTTCATCCTCAAGTTGCCTATAATGTTTATCGTGATTTTCTGCTGGCAGTTAGTCCACTATTTGCCGCCAAAAAGATAGAACATGGAGAATTTGAGAAGAGTGAATCAAACGATAATAAGAATCGTCCCCTCTTTCATCCTTTCCTTAAACTATCGTATTTAAAACCGGACGTCACCTCTTTCAACACTTTTATCGCAAAGTTCGCAATACGATATAATGATATGACACGTGCTCTGAAAGTCTTTCAAGATATGAACGAACTTAGAATACTACCGGACGTATTCACCTACACGATATTAATTGAAGGCTTTGTATCGCGACGAAAAATGAAAGAAGCTCTTGTTGTATACAATGAAATGAAGCGGAATGGCGTGAAGCCAAATGCTTATACATACACTAGTCTGATTAAAGGGTGGATGAAAATAAACAACAAGGAAAAGTCACTACAAGTTTATAAAGAGATGCGTGATTTGGGACTATTACCTACTAAAGGCACATATTGGGCTTTAAAGAGAAGTGTTAACTTCTCTTCATATAATAATTTCGATGATGTAGACAAGGAATCCTCATATAATAATTCCAGTGATGATAAAGACAATGAAAATAAAGAAGAAATCGAAATTGTAAATAAAGAAGGAACCAACAATGTAATACCTATAGATAAAAATAATGAAAATAGAAATTAATATTAAAGCTAATTTATTATTACCTTTGATTGCTCAATATAAATGTTGACCATCCCGAAAAATGTGATTGTAGAGAGGATGTGACTATATAGAGGGTGATGACTACGGTAGGACGACTATATTTGAGTTAAAATAATTTAAAATAGAATTCGCATATTTTTAGAATATACTCTTCAACAATGGCTTCACAACGTGCAAATAAAACCTCGCAAAAGTTAGTTGAGAAATCCAATTTCACTCCAATGGAGCTTAAAGTTTACCAGTTCATAAATAATAATCAAATATCTGTAACGTTTTGGAGTATTTAATTCTTGCTTCGCTTTTTTTAAAGAAGGGATCTTAACCATTCGCCTGGCATTTTTAGGGCGAGTCAGCGGAAACAGTAGTTAGTTCCTTAAATATCAAAATGAAAGATGCAGTAGAGATTATTAACAAGTTATCCAGATCTGTAAGCGATGCTTATTTTTTCAAGTTTTCAAAAGTACTTATTAGATGTCTAGTCATTGACAAATAATTTGATACGCAAGGGATTGATTGAAATGCGAGTGCAACCTGATAATACGATTACTTATTATGCGACAAATGTGCGTGATATTCAAGAGTAATTGATTTTCAAATTTGATTCAACATCTTTCTTGCATGCTATGATTTTGGCCTGAATTTTTCTTTGCATTCCCCAGTGAAACAGATTTTGACAATGATGAGAAACTAGTACTTTATCACATTAAAACGGCTGGCAATGAAGGTAACTTGCTATTTGCAGTTTTTTTTCGGTAACGCCTTGTTTTTGGCTTAACGAGTGATTCTGCAAATTAGGAATTTGGACTAAACATATTAAAACTAATACCGGTCTGCATCAAAGCGTAATCACGCGTAGTTTGAAAAATCTTGAATCTAAGGGTATAATCAAGGCAATAAAATCAATAAAACATCCCACTCGAAAGATATACATGCTATCGCATCTTACGCCTTCAGAGGATATTTCGGGTGGTCCATGGTTCTCTGATCAAAAATTGGATGTTGACTTTGTGGAGTCATTGACTGAAGCTGTTTACCGATTTATATTATCAAGGGTTAGTAAAGATTTTTTTATTTTGTCAACCCTTACAAATAATTTCATTTTAACGTTATCTTTTTTTCTGTATCGTTTCAATATAAAAGAGTTTCCCCAAAGGCAATCCAGATGCCGTGTATTCAACTTTTCATCCGAGTTATCCTACCGCAACCCAAATTCATCGATTTATCACAGAGAGCAAAATTAGTGACGTGGAACTGGAATTGGCAAATATAAATTCCCTTCTTGATCTCTTGATATTTGATGGGAAAGTCGAACGGAAAATTACCGTTTCCGACGCTGCACTATACGATTTAATGGAAGAAGATGAGAGTTCAGGCGAAATTGTCTATAAGGCAATCCGTGATCATAAATCTCGCGGAAATGCATTAACAGATGTTCCATGTGGCAAATGTCCGGTAAATGATTTCTCCTTACATTATCGTTTCTATTAAAGATTTTTCTGTTAACTTTTTTTAAATTTTAGTTGTTTAATTTGTGTTCTGAGGATGGCGTTGTATCGCCTTCATCTTGTGTTTATTTTAGAAAGTGGCTGCTCGATTATTGAATTTGTGATCAGCAGAAACTTGAGTATGAATTTATTTATGGATGAGAAGTAAAAATTGCTACCTAAGCTTATACTAAATTATTAAGAAAATTTTTTAGCTGTACGATTATATGAGCATTAAATAATTTTTTTTTCTTTAGGTTTTCGTGTATATTATTATTTGCTATTCTCATAGAAGGCCGATAGAAACCTAAGGTGAGATACAAATGGACGGATGTGGGTGTTATTTTATGTCTTCCCTTGTGACTATAAAAATGACTCGAATCTGTAATAAAATTAAAATAATTGAATAAAATAAAGGAGTTGGATTGGTGCGTTAAATTTTATATTGACTCTATACTACATAACGAAACACATTAAGGGTTGAAGAGCGTATAATCCATATTAATCGTTCATTTGAAAAACATCTATTAATCATTGTTTTTTTTTAAGAATATTAAATTTTGATAAAGTTCTTTATTAATGATAACGGTCATATGATACAAATAACATTAAATTTTTTTTCATGGATTAGCTATGGTTAAATAGCGTCGATTGTTATCAATCATCCATATATTCAAATTCGAATACTCGTCAAAACATTCTTGCAATTGGTCGCTCGTGAACCCTTTGGCATATGCCCGATCTCGAATATCAACAATTTTAAGCTGCTTCAAGGAATCTTCACCATCTTCATCTTCAGGTAATCGATTATACATTTCACGAATTAGTTCATAAATCCTTGTGTTAACCGAAGTATCACCGTCAACGACTTCTCTCTCTACATTAAGGGAAGCTTTGGAGACATCAATTAGCCTTAAAGCCTCGTCCACATCACTCTGTATTACAACGTTGCTGAGGCGAATTCGAGCTAAAGCTTGTGACATACGCAAAACTGCCAAGAGTGTACGCGCACTGGTATAGGTAAATTCACGCTTGCGTTCTGTATCCTCTACTTGATTTTGTCTAAGTCTTACGTAGGAATCGACAATATAGTCGGACATTTCTTTGGACACAACTGGTCGTTTTGAACGAGCCTCTGCGACGTAATGTCTGCATTTAGATGAACAAATAAAATAGTTCATGAATTAAATTATTAGATAGTTAGTAAATCAAATAAAGCTGAGATTTACTAACCTAATCATTTGGCCTTCAAGTGGTTCAAAATCCAATGAAGGATGATTCTCATGAGTGTGAACGTGGACCACATGCTGAGCCAATTCAGTATCACCTGTCAGGCTGGGTGAATCCAATATCAAAAATAGGACATCAAAACGTGAAAGTAGAGCCGCCGGCAAATTAATATTTTGTACTGGTGAAATTTTTGGATTATATCGACCATATAAAGGATTGGCTGCAGCAAGGATTGATGTGCGCGCGTTTAATGTAGTAGTTATTCCAGCTTTGCTAATACTTATAGTTTGTTGCTCCATTACTTCGTGAATAGCAGTACGATCAGTATCTTCCATTTTATCAAATTCGTCGATACAACAAATACCATTATCAGCAAGTACAAGAGCACCACCCTCTATATTAATATATGAGAAATAATTTATCAAATTAATACTCTCGATATAGAAAATTAATTCAATCTATTTGACTTTTTATAAGAAAGTTAAATAGTGATCTCTCGATACAAGATCAATACAATAAGATAATTGAAGGTAAAAACATCACCTAGAACCATTTCATCAGTTACAGGATCGCGCATAACAGCTGCTGTAAGACCGACACCTGAACTACCTCGACCAGTAGTGTACACGCCACGAGGTGCAACTTTTGAAATAAATTTCAATAATTGCGATTTGGCTACACCCGGATCGCCCATCAAGCAAATATTAAGATCACCGCGAATTTTCATTCCATCCCCTGTTGTTTTCGTAACTCCACCCACAAGCAATAATAACAAAGCCTTTTTTACATCCTCGTGTCCGAATATTTCCGGTGCAATACTTTGTGACAGTCTCGTATAAATATTTGGATCACTACTTAACTCCTGGATCTTTTTCTCGATTTCAGGAGTTTTTTCCATTTTATCGTATTGTTTTTTAAGCTGTCCAACATATTGTGCTTCAAGATAAGTGTCAGTTAATAGACCAGCACGTATTGCTTTAATGCCAGTATAAGGAGTAGGCAAGTAAATCCCGGCTACATCAACTCTATCCCCAGGATTTAAAGTACGTGTCATACTGCCATACAAATGAATGGTCATTGTTCGAGGAATATGCCCAACTGGTACTTGATTAGTCTATATTCAAAGAAATTTTCGATTAACAATTAGAAATGAAAATATATGCATTGAAATCAATTAACCTCTTCTTGTAATTTCACTTCCTGAAATGGCAAAAATTTGCTGGCTCGGGTTTCCATGACTAACTTTCCGGGTACTTTGTTAAGTTTACATCGAGCCGACGGACAATCAAACAACGGCATAAAGCTTTTTTTGGTAATTTCTTGAAAAACTTCGTCTCCACATACATCGCAAGCGTATGTGTTGATAAGCAAGAATGGCTTCACATCGGAAACACGCGTAATGATCCCCCGTATAGTGACCAAATGGCCTAAATATCCACCAGTCACTTCACGTACAGCCAAGGGCGAATTATTCAATGTTGATAATGGCTTGAAATAGATGGTGCTAATTGTATATCAATCAAAGAATATAATTTATTACTTATTTATATGCGGGTATAGAGACTTATTAACAATCTTACTGTCGCCTAGTCAAACTTGGTGGGAATGAGACACCTTGCGCACTTTTTTGTTGCTCTCTCTCTTTCCTTTTTGTTATTAGAACATCAAGAACATCATCCGTATAATTGATCTCTTTTGTTGGTATCGGTATTAACGCATCACTCGCACGAAGAAATAAATCAATGTAATGTTTTGCATTTCTTATTATTCTTCCAACCAAATCGTTGTTCCCTCTGTTAATCTGTAGAATTAAAAAATCCAACTTTTTGATAAAGTTTTACTTTTATAATTGCAGCAATAACAATACTACTTGTCATACAAATGAAGACACATCATCAAGCTCTATTATCAATGAATCTTGTTCGCGATTCGCAATTTTTTGCTATAATTATCAAAAAAGAAAAAGATATAAACCTTTGTTTCTCAATAAATTCTTTTTGTGATATATAATAAAAACATACAAGTTGTTCCATGTACTTAAAAGAAAATTCTTCGGGAGGTCCTTCAATGTCATAAAGGTCTATATCCATAGAATCTTCTTCAACCTCAACCCTCGGTTTTGCTGACTTGAATTTTTCGAGAAAATTTTTTATAGTTTCTATATTTCATAGTTATTTAAACGTGTTCAATAAAGTATTTGTAAACAAGCTGACTAAAATTTGTTAAAGCATGTCTCTTAACAGTAATTTACCGAGTTCCGCATCATAATTCACGTCAATGTGTTTTGTAGTTAATGCCATATCTTGTTATAAATTTGAAAGGAGTCGCGTAGATAAAAGATCTATTTTTACGCGTCAGAATGGTGGAAAAACTAAAGCCGGTTGGTGTAATCCGGATAGAGATAATCCAATCATTTACATGTTTGTTAGATCTGAAAATTTTGTGATTAAAGATTGATGACATGAGTGATATATTACAATTTAAATCTCATCATTTTATTAACTTTTTTTATTCAAATTATTATTTTAATAACTTTGAAAGCCCCTATTTAATAATTTAATTGATGCTAAAGGAGAGTAGGCAACAACCTTTTTATTTTTATATATAAAATTGATCGATTACCAATGTATGTTTTATAAGGTTTGACGATTATGTAAATTTAAATTCAATGTGTGCGCATAAAGCTATTAAACTTTTAAATTTGTCATTTGGATGATGCAAAACATTTATACATGTTAAATTCCCTTTTATACCATTTTATTTCCGTTTTGTTTCAAAAATTCCGTTTATACCGATATCTATATATTAGAATTTTTTCCGGGTCTTGGCCATGGCTGGGTTTCTAGTCTAATATGACCAGTCTCAAATTGACAACATATAAAAGTGAGAAACTATTATTCTATGAAAATTGAGCAAATTGAAATTGGCTTTCATAGAATGAAAGCTTGTAAGCTCTTCTATTGATTGGCTTGGTTGTATGTACTTTACTTCTGCTTAACGGTACCCCAAATTTAGAATTTGTCTGTTATGCTCGGAAAAATATATTTTTCCGATAGCAAATCTCCCTATAACGACATTTGATGATTTTTTTAGATTAAAAAAACAAAAATGGCCAAGATGGTTCATATAAATTCGTCCTCTCTAACGACATTATCCTATAGTGACAACAAAATTTATGGTGTCTTTATAGAGATATCGTGGGAATATGCATCGAAAAATAAAATTATTAACTAATGATCTGTGCACTGCAGAATGAATTATCGTAGAATTATAAATTAAGTGAACATGGAATAGTCAACAAGATATCTTTGAACATTGTCCAGAATGGTCAACGAGATATCTTTAAACTCTGCTAAAGAATTAGAAGAAATCAAAGAAATTAACCACAAAAATTTTTCCAATAAACTAGAATTTTATTTAAATGGAACGTGTGTGGAATTAGAGAATCCAGATCCTGACACTACTCTTTTACAGTATATTCGATCTATCGGGTTAACTGGGTACCAATATTTTACATAAAAATTGATAATACTACAAAAAATATTTACATTTATATTTAAACGTTAATAATAGCACTAAGCTTGGATGTGCGGAAGGTGGATGCGGTATGTGTAAATTAGTTTGAGGTTAAATTTACCTAGAGGATATTGAATTAATAATAATCATTATGCAGGCGCTTGCACCGTTCTAATCTCTTCGTACGATTCCACAACACAAAGAATTGTTAATTCTTCCGTCAACGCGTGTTTGGCGCCTTTATGCTCAATTGATGGAAGACACGTGATTACTATCGAAGGAATTGGCAGTTCACATAATCCACATCCTGTTCAGGTACTGTTATATGGCTTGTTTTTATTACCAGAATTATGTATTTAAAATCATTATTGATTCTAGGAAAGGATCGCGTTGTTACATGGGTAATATTATCATTTCGTTTTGATTTTTCCGAAGCTCGTTGTAATTGATGTATAACGTAATCGATTAAGAGAAAAACCTCAAGGAATCAATTGCATTGTTGTTTGGCGCACATATGCTAATTAATATTTTACATATTAGTTCACAATGTGGATTTTGTACGCCAGGAATCGCCATGTCACTATACGCACTACTTAGGAATAATCCTGAGCCTTCAGAAAAGGAAATCGAAGAATGTTTTGATGGTACAATATTATTATATAGATGTTTTGTTAATTGTATATAAAGTTCTAATGGAGATTCATGTATAATTTTTTTAATCAGGAAATTTATGTCGATGTACTGGCTACAGACCTATTCTCGACGCGGCAAAAACTGTCAGCATGTTTTTATTAGATTCAATCGTATTATTTACAAAAATATTTATTAATCTAATTTTAATATGTAGTTCGCATCCACTTCAAAACCTATATCACGTGACAATCAAATTGGTGATGAAAAGCATATCGATTCGAACGGTTGTTGTGATAATAAAAAACAAGAGAAAACTTCGGTATAATATGAATTTTGTTTTGTCGATATGAGTTTTTTAATTAAATAATGAATAATTTCGCTAGCAAACTAAAGGATGCGGACGTGAAAATTGTTGTCAACTTAGTGGAAAAGTTGAAGAATTAGTTATTTTTGATGAATTTCCAAAGGTAAAAATTATGTTTTTTGTCTATTTAATCTATACAAAAAATCTAAAATGTACGAAATTATTTTTAATAATAACAGTATAAATTAAAACGTTATGATTCGTCACAAGAGCTCATTTTCCCACCATCACTCATGAAACGTGTTCCCAAACCATTATCTTTTATTGGACGAAAAACGAAATGGTTTCGACCAATAAATCTTGATCAATTGCTAGACCTCAAAAGAGTTTATCCGAATGCAAAATTGGTGTCGGGAAATACAGAAGTTGGAATTGAAACCAAATTCAAAAAATTAAAGTATCCGATTCAGATATACGTCGGGGAAGTTAAAGCACTTCAGAGTTGGGAATTTGGGGGTAAATGATTTTGAATTTATTAAATTTATTAAATATTTTATTTTTCTAATTTTTATTTAAAAAATCAAAGACTTTGGTTTAACAATCGGAGCAAATATAACCCTTTCTAAATTTCAGCAGGTTTTGCAAGATGCTTGTAAGCATTATAAGGTTAGTAAAGATTATCTAATTTCGCATTCACATTATCAAAATATTATCTCAACATACATCTCTTACTCTTTAGCCACACCAAACACAAGTTTTCCAAGCTATCCTGAATAACTTGCGCTGGTTCGCCGGAAACCAAATCCGCAATGTCGCCACACCAGCAGGAAACATCGTTACCGGCTCTCCGATATCAGACCTGAATCCAATATTTCTCGCAACAAATACGTTTTTCACACTAACATCATCATCACCTACTACTATTAATGACTCCGATAATGAAAATAAAAATCGACGTATGATACCTTCAGAAGAATTTTGGACCGGTTACAGAAAAACAATATTGGCCGAGCAGGAAATTTTAGAGAAAATTTTTGTTCCGTGTTCAAATGAGAACGAGTTCGTGAGGGCATATAAACAAGCGAAACGACGTGACGATGATATTGCGATAGTTAATGCCGCTTTGAGGGTTGCACTTGATAAAGATCATTTGGTTCAAGATGTTTGTTTGGCGTTTGGAGGAATGAGTGGCGTCTCTTTGAGGGCTACACAAGCTGAAGGTTTTGTTAAAGGACGTAAATGGGGTGATGAGAAAGTTCTTCAAGAATTGTTAGAGACGACTTTACAAGTATGATTGTATTTATTCTAAGCTTTTGTTTGACATATAATCTAGCGTGATGTAATATTTAATATAAATCTTTTGTTATTCAAACAGGAACTACAACTAAATTTTTCTGCACCTGGTGGTATGGCATCGTATCGTAGATCGCTTGCCGCAGGCTTTATTTATAAATTTTGGCACGATATTGGGACAAGAATTGGGTTATATACTAGCGAAAATAACAGTAACAATAGTAGTATTATCAAAGAAGAATTAACAGAGATAATTGAGCGTGAGATCTCTCAAGGTGTGCAGAGTTTTGGACGACCAGAGTTAGTATTCATTACTCATTATTTATGCCGAACTTTGTTAATTAATTAATATTCTTATGGGTTTTCTTATATAAACATAGAGATGGAAAGAATCACGTTGGAAAGTCAATCCCACATGCATCAGCATTGAAGCAGGTGACTGGCGAAGCTGTGTATCTTGACGATATACCTAAAGTACATGGTGAATTATATGGTGCATTACTGTTATCGCAAGAACCGCATGCAAAAATCTTGAGGTAATCAAGTCAATTCATCTTTTTTTCTAAATTTAGTCTTTTTATCTTAATACTTTTTATCTGGCTGCTTAGTATTGATGCATCTGAAGCCTTAGCGCAACTAGGCGTTCATGGGTTTTTTTCGGCCAAGGATATTCCAGGAGAAAATAAATGGGGCCCTATTTTTCATGATGAAGAAGTGTTCGCTAGTACAGAAGTGTATTGTGTTGGTACGTGATTACTACTTGATTTATTGTGTCTGTTTACGATATTAATTTCAATTTCTTTGTGTATGGTTGGTAATATTCCTTTTACTAGGACAAATTATTGGTCTTATAGTAGCCGACACGCAAACATTAGCGCAGGAAGCCGTAAGACTAGTAAAAGTAAAATACGAACGACTTCCATATATATTGACTATTGAGGAAGCAATCGATAAGCAAAGTTTTTTCCCAAATGAGCGTCAAATTGTTCGAGGAGATCTGGATTACGCGTTTAATGAAGCAGATTATATATTCGAAGGTATTTTTATGAAACAAGGCAAAAATTTCAAACTTCATGAAATAATTCTTCGATATATTGTTCTTTTCCATTCATTAATGTAGGAAGCTCTAGGATTGGTGGACAAGGTTTCTTATTAAATTCTCTTTACAACATCTTTCTTACTCTATGAACCGTGATTTAATGTAATTATTCTATGATAGAACATTTTTATTTGGAAACGCAAGCATCCTTGGTAATACCAAAACCTGAAGACCACGAATTCGAAGTACATGCATCAACACAAAATCCCACAGAAACCCAAATAGTCCTCGCTTCTGTATTGGGAATTCGAGCCAACAAAGTTGTCTGCCGGGTGAAAAGATTAGGTGGCGGTTTTGGCGGAAAAGAGACTCGTAGCATCCCATTGACCGCGGCATTGGTAGTTGGGGCTTGGCATCTGAAAAGGCCAATTCGGTGCATGCTGGATCGCGATGAAGATATGATGATCACTGGACAACGGCATCCTGCTTTAGGGCGTTGGCGTATTAGTATGAGC